TGTGGATTATAAATCGGTAATTAGTGCAAGCAATGATTTTACACTAAGGCGAAATTGCAATTAAGGGTGAAATTCTGGTTTTTGTCAATGAGATTAAACAAAATTTCTGAAATTTAGGACTTGCTTCTGCATATATTGTTCACCCAATCAGTAGAAAAGAAAAGGGTTTGGGGAATATGGTTAGCAGCTGTGCTGCTTCAGTGTACAACCCATATATAATGAAGAGATTTATAAGGTCATTTAGAGACCCGAAGCATTGAAAAGCTAAAGCTTTGTGTATCTGAAGCATTAATTAGCTTTCTGGAGGAAGTATGCTTCTCTTACTAGCAGACTCATTCTAATAAGGAATATGATAATACATAGTTTTGAGACTTTATTCTAGAAAAATAAAATCTAGTGATCAGGATGCTCAGCTATTTCTTTGTGTGGGTAATTCTGTCACTTTCCTAAGCAGTAAGTCAGCCTGTGGTACAAATCATTTCAATAAGTGAGATATCTGAATAGAACAGTATATGAAGCTTATTTTCAAAAAAAAAAACTTTTTTTTTTTGCATTATTACTTTTATCATATAGTTGGCTTTATTTTGCTGAGCTTGGTAAAACTTTTATCATGTATTTGTTCCTGGATTTTTGAGTTTTTGTCCATGGGATAGAGCTGATGGAATTGTGGAGGAAAAGATAAGCTTTGCTATGGGGAAGAGAGACTGTTCAAGTTGCTTCTTTTGTAAGTGAGACTTTTTTGTGGGGTAATAATACATTCTTCCTTATTGCAAAGCGAACTTTAAAAGCTCAAAGCAAATTTTATTGTCACCTTTCCGAAGGTGTTGGAAGGGCCCCGCTGACTGTTGGCTCTGGCAGTTTAGGACGTGACCATCTGCTCCGAGCTTGTTTTCCTGGGAGCGCTGCTGGCCGAACAGACCTTGTGTTCTCAGCCACGGTCATTCCTTATGCAGCTGAGTTTCAAAGCAGTGTGAACGGAACCTCTGCACTTAAAGCAAAAGTGTCTGAGGGGGTTTGTGTTTGCAGACTCTCATGTCCCTGACTGCCCCTCTGATGGTTATTGTCCTGCCAATAACTTCTTAAACTAAGAAAGCAAAATTGGCTAGACTTGTTTCATCTGTATTCTTAGCCTGCATGCGGCTCCAGGGTAGTCTGCTGTTATCTTAAGAAAATAAAATTAACATGACTTCACTACAACTGTATTGCATATCCTAGCCAAAGCAATCAAGAATGTATTCTTACTCTCCTAATTTTCAGTCCTTTCTCTGACAGGAGGATCTAAAAATGAAGGTTGCTTATGAGCTTAATAATAGGGTTTTGCTCTTTGATTTCTGCTCTGGTCTATTTGGTGACACCTGTTGTTTGTTCTTTGCTTTTCGTAGGAAAAAAGGGGATTTAAATTTGCAAGTCATGGCTGAATAATGGGTAGAAAGGGATATGTCCTTAATAGGAATAAAGCTAAAGATGAAAGGGAACTGGCATAACCATTAGTTTACTGGCTAGAGGTGCCTGGAAAGTCCAGAATGTGCTTTAGGTTTTTTTTTTTATATATATTTTTTCTTTTTTTTCTTTTTTTTTCTTTTTTTTTTTCTTGTTAATAAAGGGCAACCTTCTCCCTCAGATGTTAAACTCCTTCCCTTCCCCAAATAAATTTAATGTATGATGCATTCAAAAGGGATTTTTGTTCTCTCCTTGCTGCTTTTCTCTGTGAGTGCTTAGTTGAATTATACAAGCTTAAATATTTATAACATAGTAAAACGGAAACTCGCCCCCCCCCGCCGAGTAGCTTACTTCTTAATATGGTATGAATCTTGATAATCTTGAAACTCCTAGAGATTCTCAGCTATATTTTTAAACTCTGACATTAACCTTACTGAGGCTGTTAAATTTAAAATGTTTTCATTGTGATCTTTGAAACTGAGTTTTTCTGTGGCATTTAAAAACTGCATTTGATCAAAAACAGGTCATGCTGCAGTAGTTGTGTAGCTTTTGCTTTCTGAATAGCATGGGACTAGAATGGCAGAGGAAATGAAGAATGCGTTTGCTCTGAGACTTTCATCTTTATAACACACTTTCCATGAGCAATCTAGAATATTGCTTTTAATTTTGATATCGCAGGTTCCCTGACGTTGAAGTCAAGAGGTTCCCTTAGCTGAATTCATGGCTTGTTTCTAGCCACCTTCTTGAAACTGCACCTGTGTGACCAACAAGAGAGTGTTACTCTTATGCTTGGGGAGTTTACTTTCCAAATGTCTGACCTGTTTGTGTGAATGTCTTCTAACTTATTCCAATTAAAGTAAATTTGACAACTAAACAAGTGAATGCAGTTTTTGTTTGAAATAGGACAGGGAGTATTCACATGAATTACACTGATGGCAAGTTGGAGTAGGCAGTAATGAAAGGCTGGAGTTAGCTGGCCCCGGGCCGATTAACTTATTCAGCTTGCATAGTTATGGCTGAAAGACCTATGTGTCTGCACCTCATGTGATAGTAAAGCACATCTCAGTCAAGCTTGAAGTATGCTCTTAGAGATATTGAAGGCATTGCAACTTGGATGTGATCACAGGAATGTGTATGGTATGCTTTAAGTGCCCGAATTAAATGAGAAACTCCTTGCAGTCAGCTACTGTTGATAAAATGTTCATATTCTTCCTGATTAAAATGTACAAAAAAAGGACTTCTCTTAAATTGCCTTAATCCACATAGGACAAGAACAGGTGTTTTGTAATTCAGTATGTTTTTCTAGTTCTTCCTTTTTTTTTCCTTCTTTTTTTTTCCTCAGTTTTTAAAAATTTATGCTTTCCCTGATTTTAGTGTTAACATACTGCCACAGAAACGTTTTCTAGCTCCCAATGTGCCTGTCAGTCCTCATTTTGATGCAGAAAGAACTAGTGCTATGCTAATAGAAGCAGTTTGCCTTTCTCTTTAATCATTCTCCCACAAGTATTTGCAAAAAAATCACTGTAGGAGACAAAACTTCATCAAAACAGCATTTTGTGTGCTCCATCCTTTCTACAAATGTGCTAGGAGTCATGAGGGCTGCTCTTGGTTGTCTTCCCAAGGTCCAGCAATAGGTGTAGGGTGAGAGGGGAAGAGGCTTCTGAAAAGCTGGGCCTTGGCTGCTGATGTCACCAGCAGGACTGACTGCTACTCACTACTGTTTTCTCCACTGTTGGTGTAAATTTGCAGGGCACTGTTTACTCTGCACTGAGGCTGTGCTTTGTTTGGGCAGCATCATGTTATGCTTTTTTATTTCCTTCAAAGAATTCTCTAACAGAGATTCTTCACTTTTGTATTGAGGATTTACTTGGAAATTAATAATCGTTTTGAACTTGACTGTCTGAAAACTGCAAACAATATCTAAGCTCTTGTGTAACATTTCACAACATGACATTTGTTAAAAATACCTGGAGTTAATAAACCATGTTGTGCTGGAAGGACCTTTAAAGGAAAGATTCTTAAAAACTCCAAAACTTATTTCAGCAGTGAATCCATAACCTGAGCTTGGGTGGGGTTCACATTACATCATCTGTCTGAACAATTTTCAGGCCTGTGAGACTTAAGTCTGAGTATGTGAAAGACATCAGAGCTAAACTGCTAATCCAAATTTATAATCTCTGTCTAAGTATTATAGGTGTAGTTTAGTGGCTTTTGTTCTCATGTTAGCCTTCTAACGAGGCTTACATTACCTAGTCAGTTTTCTGAAGAATTGAGTTCTTTAGTCATTTTAGCATTTCTGTGTATATTGCTTGCATTAGATTAACTGGTAAAATTTGGTTTAGGATAGGGAGAGGAAAGATCTTTTTATAGAATTACATGTTTGAATGTGTATAACAGCACAAATCTTTGAAAGAGTAAAAACATATCTGCTGTGGTTACAAAAATGCTACAAAATATTTGTGTTTTGAAACCAATCTGGGCTTCACGCTATTTTTTTTTTAAGTTGCCAGACAGCCGCCTGTGGTGGCTTGCAGGTTGAAATGATGCACCTTCACAAGAGGGGCAGGATTAGCAAGTTTTTTTGTTGTTGTTGTTTTGTTTTGTTTTTCTGTCAAGAGTGCTCATTTTATTTAATTTTTTCTTTTTGTTCTCTGTAAGTAGATATGTATCTCTGGTCTTTTCTTGATCACTTACTATTTTACGGCATTAACTGAGGTGCAGGTGCTGTTTGCTTTCTGCATTGGCACTACTGTGGGAGGCAATGTGAAGCAACGCTTCACATGTTCACCAGTCACCACAGGAGTTCAGCTAAACTCCCCTTCTTTGGACACCTTTCAGGTGACTATGCTGAACCTTTTTTTGTGTGTTAAATATTTGGTTATTTTGAACAGTGTTTTGGGTCTCTCATATCCTGCTTTGAGGTAAAGATGACGTGTTAAGTTTTGTAGAGAAGGCCCCGGGATGTGCAGCTTGTTTCCCTCTCCTTTATATGTGACCCTTCAGAACTCTGTGGCTTAAGCACACTAACTCCCAGCCCTCAGTTAGACTAATGTTCTCAGGAACCGAGATATGGAAGTTTACCATATGTAGTAGAAGTTGTGTGATATTCATCAAGAATATCTGAACACTTACTATTTTTTTTTTTAACATACAGAACAGTTGCAAAATATATCTGTACAGGCAGAAGTTAGAGCAGTAGAGGGAGCAGGCTCTGGAGGATCAAAAACGGGAAGTGGAAGCTCTGAGACAAACTCTCCCTTGTGTGATAATTTACTGAGTAACGTACAAATATAGTCATCTGTTTTTAATACACATGAACAATTCAACAACAATTTTGTTAAATCACAGTATTTTCAAATAGACATTCTAAAATCGGACTTGCTGAGAAGTGTGATTGCTTCTTGAAAAAGAATTTGTACGCCAATGAAATGAAGTTTTTTTTTTCAGTATTCTTAGAATGTTAAGTACTGTTTGATTAAGTTCATATTACATCTATTAACATATTTATAATTTCAAAACTTGCTATCTGATATTTTTGCTTCTTTGTTAGGTTCATGTGGCAGGACAAGATTACAGACCTGATATGGAAGTCAAAACTTCATTTAGCAAGGGCGGTAGAGTTCCTGAAACTGTATCCATGTTAATTAATGAAGAATTTGTCCTGGTCCGTCAGCAGTCGGAGGACTCTTCTGGCAAAGATGAAAAACCTCAGCTAAAGGTTTATTACTGCTTTATTTTAAATGCATGTTAAGATGCCCTTTGAATAAAAGGTTGCAACTTCTTTTGCATATTTGATTAAAGATACTTGTGTGTGCTTGAGAAGACTTTCAAACAGTACTTTTTGTCATTGCTCATTGCTAATAGCTCAGACTAAGCAAATCTATTTGGCCAGAAGTGGTAGTTCAGTTGTTCGTATAGTAACTTCTTTAAGAGTCATAGGAGTCATGTTAGCATTTTGTGGATTTGTGTGTTAAAAATGGATTTAAAAAATCTATTCAAAGGATCAAGTTCCAATTAAAGCTTAAGAAATATTCTTTACTTTGGGTTCAGAGACTCTTCATGTTATTTTCATAAAGGAATGTAACAGGCTGTATAGATATAGACCGCACAGTGTCTTGCTTTTCTGTGTGTTTTAATTAAGTTTTCTTGCATAAGTGTTATTTTAGATGACTGTGTTTTCTGAAAGTTTTTTCACCTTCAAATATCAAAATATGTTAACATTTGGATAACAGCCGACTGGTTCATTAGAGATCTCCATCTCAACTGCAGTGGCTGATTTATTGGTTTTGACTGATTTGGAACAATAGGATTTTGCACCCTTTGAAATGACAATAAGCACTTTGTCTCTAATTGCTAAACATTTATGCAAATGGATGATTTCCGTTTGCATGTAAACACTAGCTGCTGCTTTAGTAATCATATTGGAAAAGAAGCGCATGAGCTGGAGATAGAAACCACGATACAACTTTGTATAGATCATTCCCTTTCCTTTTTTCCTTTTTTTTTTTTTTTTGGTCTGAAATCTAGCACTTGTAGAAATCTCTATTTCCTGTGGAACACATATGACCATTTGCTTACCTTTTCCTGACACTTGCACATCTCTTGTCTGTGTCTGAACAGATGAAATAGATGAAATGTATTTGGTATGGCTAAGTGGCATTTTCTGCAAGACAAAGCTCCACTAAAGTGAGTTGCTCTCTTTGTTTTGAATGGAGGACCTGAAGAGACGAATCCGAGATTTTAATGGGGGCTCTCTACATTTTACTGAGTTGAGAGTGAGAATGTATATATTATATGTACTGGGATTATTTTTAACTGAATTTTGTTCGTTGTGAGAACTAGGGCTCCCGTGCACTTCTGTGCTAAGCTTTGAGCTTTCTGTTAACATCTTCTACTGTACAGAAGAATTGCTGTCAGTGTTGACTTGTGGGAAGGGCAGCAGCCTGGCATATGAAACTAGAATGCAAATGTCTGGCTCAGCTATTGTCATGTTATGCGACTTGGGAAGCACACGTCTGTGGCTAGGTTATTTGTTCTCTCTGTGCCTTGGTTTGTGATGCACTGGTTCTACAGATAGAGAACTATGTAAGAAATATATGAATTCATAAAGGTAACGTTACTTTGATTTGACAGAAGCATATTATCCGGTTGCCTATTATTTTCTGCGCACACTTGGTTGAAATACTGAATGGCCAAGGGAAACAAAACAGTATTCCAAATAATCATTTCAAAAATATCTGACGCGATGGAGAATGCTGTGCTTCTCTTATTCCAAATAGATCCTAGTTTGTTTTTTTTCTCCTCTGTCTTACTAGTGAACAAATTGTTTTAAATTATATATTCAAACATATATGTTATGCATTATTATACAGTATGATATGTATAATATATACCTATTATATGCGTAATATATCTGTATATAATATATATGTATACATATGCATATACACATGTACATGTATATATACATACATACATAGTATATATTATTGATATTGATCGTGGCCTGCAAATGTTCACTGGATCTTGGGAGTCTTGAGTGGTCAGTGACATTTAATATTATGGCTGTATCTCAGTTGTGCTATGATACAATATCATAGGTACTTAGTGTATTCTCTCGTTTAGCAGAATTTCATTTCACAATTCATTTCAAATTTAATTTAACGGTGAATCAGGCTATGTGTTTGTAAACAATATTTTCATGTAAGTAGCTTTTCAAAGTGTCACTTCTGATTTCTTACAGGTGTTTTCAAACGGTGACGAACAGCTGGAGAAGGCAATGGAGGAGATACTGAGGGATTCTGAAAAAGAGCCGAAGAGCTGTACTGCTGAGCAGGAAGGTTGTGCTAATGCCTGCAGCCAGGCAGCTGGAGATGTATCAGCAAGTCAGACAAATCAGCCATCCTTGAACCTTGTTTTAGACCCTTCTACTTCAGGTACTGGTAGAGGAGCTCCATTCCTCTCCAAAGTGGTAGCTTTTCCCTCTGTGCATTTTCAAATTGATCTTAAAATGAATATAAGGCTTTCTGGGACTCTCTCCTGAAACTATACTGGAGATGCTCTGCAGCCTTCTCTCCTTTTGAGTTCAGGGTTGGAGTAGATTGTTGCTAGATTGGTAACCTGTGCTCATTGGTTGTTTTGGTCAAGAAAATATTATTTTCTTTGTTTCAAGCCCTAGGTGAGATTAAGTTTCAGGCAGCTGAACAGCACTAGAGTTGAGTGGCTTGAGTAGGCCTGAGGCAAGATATTTCCGTGGTGCTTTCCTGGACCATTTTTAATAATGTTGGGACATAGTATAAAAAAGGAATAATTTACTGAAGAGTTCAGGTTTTTCCATCACCCTCTCACAGACAAATGTAAGAATGGAAAATTCTTAGTTACTTTTTTCACTTTCATATTAATATATAAGGTTGTGGCCATGCTTGCGGGCCTTAAGTTAGATTTTTTTTTTTTTTTTTCTCCTCAGTAGTATGCAGGGCACTTCAATGGTATCATATCAGATATTTCCCATAGTATTTATTTGTGAAGTCAAAAAAACAAAAATCAAGAAGCCCTCCAAAAAACAAAACAATTTTCCACTTTAGAGTGAGCTACATAACTTAGTAATGTCAGGGAAATGCTCTTTTAATTGCATGTATCCCACATTTTAGCAAGATCTGAGAACTTACCTTACTGGCTTCTTGTTGGATGCAGGTTTTAAAGACTGAGGATCTTAAAAAAGAATACAACTTTAGCATGAATGAAAAAAGAAACATGAAAAGATTTTGTTATTGAATTCACTCAGAAAATAATAAGTAAAAAGAAAGACAAGTGATTAATTTTTTTTTCTTTTTTCCAGAAATCTCTGCACCGAGGCCCTCTTCCCCTGTTGAACCCCCAGAAGAGGACAGCGTATTATTTAACAAACTGACTTATTTAGGTTGCATGAAGGTGTCTGCCCCTAGAAATGAAGCAGAAGCACTGCGTGCAATGGCAGCTATGAAGTCCTCAAGCCAAGCCCCCTTATCTGTGACCCTTTATGTTCCAAATATTCCTGAAGGCTCTGTAAGGTAATACACACGCATATATTATTTATTTTTACTTTTTTTGTTTGCACACACAAAGCTCAATGCTTCTTCCACAATGAAATGAAATAGTTGTTTTTGCAACTGAAGTTCTTACTAAAGGCATTTAATTTTGAGAAATTCCTCTGAGGCAATAAAGAGCGGCCCAAGTTAATATATTGTAATATATAGTTGTTATACAATGTCAATCAAAGTATATTTTTCTATTTGCTTCTTCATTCAAATATGATAACAGATGCCTGGTTGTCTGGGGAGCTTCTTCACGTGAACCAAGAACTCCCTGCAGTTCCGACATACCTGCAGGTTGAGATATCAGTCTCCTGAAACCCAAAGCAGAATCATTTGGGTCATCGTTTATGGATAACGATACAGAACGTGGTTGTGTTTACTTCTCGATTTTTACTTTTTGTATACTTGAATTTAGGAGAAGTTAATTTGAGATACTTCTTTATCTAATCTAGATACTTGTTGATTTAATTGCCAAAAGATCTTTTAAGTAGGTCTGTTTGTTTTGACTGTCCTTTTGGTTCTGTTCCTTCCCTTAACAGGATAATAGATCAATCAAGCAATGTGGAGAAAGCCTCTTTTCCAATCTACAAGGTGTTGTTTTGTGTGCGCGGACAAAATGGGAGTTCAGAGAGTGACTGTTTTGCATTTACTGAAAGCAGCTGTGGAACAGAAGAGTTCCAGATTCATGTTTTCTCCTGTGAAATTAAAGAGGCAGTAAGTCTGCTTTATTTATTTATTTATTTATTTTATTTTTTGGTCCTTGTATCAGTTGGATTCAGGCTAACATTGCAGGGTAGGCCTTGAGATTACGTAGGATAATTTTACATTTACTCACATTTAGGGAATAACTAAATTGTATTTTGAGAGGCAGGGATTTTGTAACGTTGACAAATAGATGTTGAAAAGGAGAAACCTTGGTTATCAGCATGTGCAAGAACAAACAGCTAGTGACTTTTTTTACAGGGAGAAAGAAGTGATGGTAGTGCAACCTTCAAAACCTTTCGTATACTTGAGAATTTATTCCTCAAGATAATACATTGCAATACTACCAAAATACATATATTTAGGATACTGCTGTTCTTTTGCTTTTCTACAGGTCAGCAGGATTTTGTATAGTTTCTCAACAGCATTCAAACGTTCTTCCAAACAAGCATCTGATCATGTTAAGGACTTTGTTCTTCCTACTCCAGATAGTGATGTGTACACTTTCAGTGTTTCCTTAGAAGTCAAAGAAGATGATGGAAAAGGAAATTTTAGGTAATCTTAAGGGAGAGCGAAAAGTAGAAATCTTCCTGCCTGGTGGGGAAACTGTTCTTGTTTTTATTATTTTTTCTCTCTTCACTGAGCATTAGAAAGGACAGAGAAACAAAATCTTCTTACTTAAAAGACAGCCTTTATTTAACAAGCTTTTGGGAGTGAAAGAAAGAGTTGATAATAAGAGTTAATCCTTTTAAAGTGCTTTTTTGGCATCATATCTAGCATATCTTTTATTTTCTATCATTTTAAAATCACTGTTATAAACTGGAGGAATTAACATTGTTAATGCAGGAAGAAAAAAAAAAAAGCAACAAAAAAGAAAGCTTACACTTTGCATATGTGAGCCAGATAAATCGCCCATACGCTTATGGTACTAAGTATGAGCTTATGGTGTGTGTGTTTTTTTTGTTTTGTTTTGTTTTTTTCTTTCTTTCTTTAGTGCTAGGTTATTTGCTTGGTATGAATCAAGGGAGAGAAGGATTAGCTGAGACGTAGAGAGCCTAAGCAAGTTACTGCTGCTCCTCTGGATTTAACAGCTGACCATCTATACCCATGCTCAGTAAAGTTGTTCTTCTGTTCTTTTAGCCCTGTGCCAAAGGATAGAGAGAAATTTTATTTCAAACTTAAACAGGGAATTGAGAAGAAAGTGGTGATTACAGTTCAACAACTCTCCAATAAAGAACTGGCTATTGAGAGGTAAGATTGGTATAAAAATGTCAGCGGGAGTTTTTTTATAGATATACCTTGTATCTACCAAGAATCTAGAGATCAATATGTCCTGGACACAACCGGGAGAATTTTCTAGCCTCCAAGTTGGAATCTCTTTGAATTTTTTTCTTTTTTTTTCTTGTGTGAGGCTTATTTACAAATAACATTTACAACTTTGGTGTGGGAGATATTACTGACTTTCTTTTCGAGTATTCACATTACAGGTGTCAGAGTTGGCAGAGTTAGAGTTGTAGTTGTGCTTTATGAAGTTGTTGAATTTTTTTTCTTTTTTCTTTCTTTTATAGAAGCCATATGATTGGTATGCCATCGCTGAATCATGCCTTAGTACTGTTTTTTATATGTTCAGAATGAAGTAACTGGTAACATTAACAAACAGAGCATTGTTCATAAGATGCTCTGAAAAAAAATTCTTTTTTTGATTCTTAGCAACTTAGATTCAAAAAAGGTACAATACCAAGCTGCTATGTGGGCTTAGTAACCTATATTGTTTGGATCTAATGAAACTTTTTTTTTTTTTCTTTTTTTCCCTTAAGTGCAGCTCCTAATTGCTTTGCCTGTTCGTACATGGTCATAGTAGTAGTATTCTGTAATTTGACCTACCGTTGTTACTTATGGTATCTGGGTGCAGGCTGGATGATATCCACAGAAGAGGACATTTTGCTAAAATTCAGAACATCCTGTATCCTGCAGGAAAGCGATCCCATTTTCAAGCTGGTTGCTTGTGCTTATATAGTTTTTCTGGTTCCAGTTAATATTAGTTTACAAAGATGTATTACATTGTGAGCTATATACTATGTTTGAGGCTTTCTCAAAGCCTCATTTAGTTCTGAAAGGGAAGCAACAATTAATGCATTTGATGTACTGTGGATTTCCAATATTCCTGAGCAGAACCAAGTTGCTCAGAGTCCTCCTTGGATTGCTTGGAACCTTAGCTGAGAGAGAATAGCTCATATGCTTCTGATCCTATCCAGATAGTCCCTACCTGAGTAAGAATGTGCCAGAAAGTAAACAACCTAGCTATGCTAGACCTTGGAGAATATCATCTATTAGATCAGCATACTGGAATAATTCAAATTTGGATTCAGCCTGCTGGTTAGAAGAAGCTGTCTTTTCTTTTGGTTGAGTCTTCAAGATCAACAAGACCAGGAGAGAGATTGTTTTTCTCTCTCTCTTTTTATCTTTTATCTTTTTTTTTTTTTAAAATGATTCTATTGTCTATCTTCTAATGATGGTGTGATGGTGAAGAGTTCAGGAATGGTTAGTGAATTGTTGCTGTTTGTGTTTTTGTTTCCTGAATCCCTTATGGACAGAATAATATGTGCACAAGCAGCAGACCATGCACTTGAATAACAGTTAATGACTGATAATAGACCCTTAACTGATAATAGACCCTTTGTTACTACAGTAGTAGTAGATAATTACATTAGTTAAAATCAGAAAATTCCTTCTCAGTAGCTGAATTTTAAAAATAGGAAATACCACCAGATGGCAATCTTATCAAAATAATTAACAATATGAGATTTCAATTTTAGTGGTAAATTCAAGATAAAAGTAGAATCAAAAATCCAAACTAAGATTTGTCTCCAGTTGTTTTCAAGCTCTTCTGTCAAAAATGAAACTGAAATGTCATGTAAGAAATATAAATACAGGAAACTTTATCAAAATTATTTTGGTTTGTAAAATTGCATTTTAGCTGAGAGTTACCTTTTAAAATACTTTATTAAATCTGTTTTTAGTTTGAAAAATTTTTGGCTTGAAAATTCAGACTGATGATAAGTTCTGTATGTGTTAAGCATTTCTGAATAATTTTAAGCAATTTTGAATAATGTTAAAATATATAGTGTCTGATGTTTGCAGAATTAAGAAAATTCTGTCAGGCCAAAGGAATGAAAACTGGATATTTTTTTTTCCTTTTCCTAACAGTAATAAAAATCTATAAATGTCCCAGGCTATAAAACTCCCATTCACAGCCTAGTGGTACATATCTCAAGGTGTTGAATGACTAATGCCCAGTCTTGGAATGGAAACCGTGATGATGCTCCCACATGCAAAGCTGTTTAAGGACCAGCTATGCAGCAGCAAATATGGGGAATGCAGACCTTAACATATAAGGAAGGGGAGCTGGCATCTTCACTTCTGCACAGACTAAATCTATTCCCCTTTTACCTCGGTGCAGTTCTGATTTGGGCTACAGACTTAGTATTCTTCTCTGTTCCCTTAATAAGGGTTCAAAGGAGAGCCCTCTGTTGTGTGTTGGAATAAAAACTATGCTGTGGCTTTGTGTGAATGTTTGTATTCGGGACTGACAAAAGTATAGCCAGCTGTTCAATCCATAGTGTCTGTGTATATGTGAACCTGTATGTTTGAGTCATTGGGAAAGCAGTTATGTAAAGAAAATATTCTATAGAGTATTTTTGGTCAATGAGTGATCTCACAATTTAGTCAAGCCTTTCATCTTATTTTTGGTCAATGAGTGATCTCACAAAGATTTAGTCAAGCCTTTCATCCGTGAATAAAGCATAGATCCCATTTTTAGGGTACGGCATCTTTGTGGAATGCAGAGATTTAGAGTTGGTAGTGCACCTTGACAGAATATAAGACTAGTCACATAGTTATACCAACTTTTGTAGGTAGGCCTGAGGTTAAAATTGGAATGGTTGAGGTCTAGTCCTTAGAACTGATGTATTGAGCATTGGCTGGTTGGGTGGAATTACAGGAACCTTTTAATTAGAAATTAACTTGTTGCATTTCATTGAGTATTGCACTAGCAATGCACTTGGTAGCCATCTGTAAGCGCTGACAAGCCAGCACATAAAAAATGACAAGAGTGAGGCCAGAGTCTAAGCAGATCATTATGAATCCTGGGTGTGTGGTGGGGTTGGCCTTCTTCAGAAGGTAACGTTTCTGGCTGTTTTTACTTCTCAAATTAGGAGAAGATGTTAACAACTGGTTAACTCATTTTGCATTTTTGAACTTGGTGGGAATAGAAGCCTTAACTCTTCCAGTAGCAAAGTGCTGTCAGTCATCACAAGCATCCCTTTTGCAAGAGGCAGGAGTTGCTTGTTTCCAATGGCTGTTTTTGGAAGCTCACTGCTTACAGACTTTGGCTGGCTTACATCAGAACTTGTGCACATCTGAGACAAGCACAGCATGAGCCAAGATCCTGTGAGCTCATGTTTTCAAAAGCACAGATAATTTGCCTGCCACTGAACCTTGGCTTTGGCGTTTTCTTTAGCAGATAAACTGGAAGAGTAGTGATCTTTGGTCTTGCGGAAAGCATGCCAGGAAGCTCCATGGCCTGCAAATTGTTGCTTATTGGATTGCTCCTTGTTTTACATGAGATAATAAGGGAGATAATATTGAATGTGTCTAGGCAAAAAGAAATCTGGCAGTTTATGCTGGATTAGGACTCTGTGTCAAGGTGCAGTGGCATTTTTGACCTGGTTCTAAGCACGATAAACCAGTCTTACAGATCCACAATGCAACTTAGTCAATAATAAAGATCCTTGTGTCTGTAAATTACAGAAATATGTACAGTATTTCCTTGTCAAGATTAAATTTGTTTTTTTTCCCCTAATGTCAGGAGTACTGACATTATGGAGGATAGAATGTATGAAAATTCCAACTTTGCATATAATTGTATAAAAACTTTTTTTTAAGTAGACTAATGTGAAAGTGAATTTCTTCTTGCCAATTTCTTACACTAATATGTGTGTAATGGTTGGTATCTTTAAAGTCAATATTTTAACTCATCTTCAAGACTATTTGCCTGTTCACAGCTGATACACCAATTTCTATCATCTTTATTCTATAAAACAATTTCATTGTAATTTCTGTAGTATATATTGTGGGGTTTTCTGATATTAGTATATGATAGAACACTAATAAAAATTCAAGAAAGGTTTTCTCTATGTTAACAAAGAAAAAAAAAAGTTAAATACTTTTGTATTTAAAAAAAACCTATTTATTTACTTTACAGATGCTTCGGTATGCTACTAAGCCCTGGACGAAATGTGAAAAACAGTGATATGTATTTACTGGACATGGTAATACTGAACTCATGGCTAGTTTAATTTTATCAAGTTTCTTATAACTGATCCTCTCTGCTAACAATCATTTCAGAAACTCATAAATTGATAAACAGAATAGCCGACATTGCCCCAAAGGTGTCCCTTGTAATCAGCACTGAATTAAAGTATGTTAATGCTATCTTGTCATCAGCTCCATTGTAGCCCTTTTCTTCTTTTTCTTTCCTTGCCTGATCCTTTCTCAGACCATTAGATCATATTCTGTGTTCAGGTTGTGTTCTCTGTTGAGTGCATACAATCTTATTTGGAAGTTCTTAGCTTCCCAACACTCACTGTTTTTGTTAGAATTATAAGTAAAATCCAAAATGTTTTTATTTTTAGGAATCCA